ATAACTTCGTATAATGTATGCTATACGAAGTTATTACGGTTTTCTTTATACCAATTGATTCGTCTCATTATTTTATGCATAAAAGTATTAAGGTAAGATTCCCAAAAATTGAATATTTTACAAGATATTTTGTATTTTATGTCAAAATACTGTAATTTACAAGCCTCATAACTCGAAAAGTACTTAATGAAAAATAACTTCATTATAGTGTTTTGAAAAGCTCTTGACACCAGCTATTAGATTTTGGAATCAAAAATAGGGGTTTTCATTTTAAAAAATAACTCTGACTTTTAAATGACCTTGAAAATCAACTGCGAGGTCAAAGTCAAGGTCACCATCAGATAAATCCCTCGAAATCATGCAAATTTTGTCTGAGCCATTTTTTTGTACAAGCACATCCCTACGTTTTAAAAGGGTGAGACGGGTGGTCTGAAACACCCGGTATTTTGATATTACGTACCGAGAGGTCCTAGCCGATAGTTAATCGTAACCAATATGACATCGCGATCCATGAGATATTTAGCGCCGTAAAACATACCGCTACCAAATTGGAAAGCGCCACCGTGGATCCAAAACAGTACTGGCAAAGGAGTTTTATTTCCTGTCCGTACTGGTACATAAATATTTAAATATAAAACAATCCTCGGCGCCCTCAACCTTATCCATAGGACCAGACGGCAATTGACTGTATTGGAGACACTGAGAACCGAATTTCGTAGCCAATATTTCGCCAGTCCACGCTGGTATCGGTCGAGGTGGCTGCGAGGAAAAACGAGAAGAAAATAACACGCATTCTGAACATTTAACGCGAGCAAAATTATTTTATAAGCTGTAAAAAATAATCAACGAAATATCCGACATCTTTGATCGAACGAAAATCTTAGTGTCTAATACATAAAAATATATAGGCTCGTAATAAATCAATTACAAATTAATAAATGAGGATACCGAGTCAACGTCGGATGATTTTTGCTTATAACTTCAATCACAATTAGTAATTTGGACGACAATTAAGTTTGACAGAAATCTTGACCGAAACGTTTATTGTATTAATAAGAAGATCGTTACAAGCAAGAAACATCTAGCATTGGTTCGTTCATTTATTTGTCATTGACTTAGAAATATTATATATCATTGCGCAGCTATTACATGATACAAAAAACCTGCGCGGCGATACATAACGTTAAAAGTTATAGAATAGGGGGCTTAGTAAATTAATAAATATTTTTTATCGTATGGATTTACTATTGTTTTATTCCATAAGAACATTTTTAAAAAGCTGTCTCTTCAGAGACAGATATTGATTAATTCGATTGTACACTCACTTTGAATCTTAGTTTACCGATCGGCGGCAACGCAAAAGGAACCCCTTCATACGCTTCGTACTGTCTGCCATCCTGCGATATTTTGTAGTAGCCCTTCAATCCTCCTAAGGGAGTCTTCACTCTTGGAGCCGCTTCCTCTGAATTCGCGTGAACGGCTAATCCGAGGCAAAGCAGGACGATCGGTAGTTTCATCAACATGGCTCTTGATTAATGTGTTACCCTTTGCGTGAATTGTCGCGAACTGATTCTCCTCTGGTGCCTGTCATTTATTTTGTTCGGTGATCTTCATCATTATTTGATATATATACGTATACTCATATATGTACACATATGTACATACATATGAATTAGATAAGCGCTATTACAAGCTCTCGAGTTTGATAAGACATATCAGTTGTTATCTTTTAGAAATTATTTTCCGAATAATTAACTCGATTGGGAGAATAGGAAACTATTTATAAAAGAAATAGATCAAACTGATAAAAATTTAAGAATGTATTTTTTGAGAGGTTGGCTTTATCTCGCGACGTATGTTCTTTTGATCTTTTTGGTGAATAGAATACGTAGAAGAAAAACATTTTGATCCTAAACTGATCCGATTTTCAAAATATCAGCAAATGAGAGGAGATTCTTAACTTTTTTCACAGCTTGTATGTGTACATATGCAATTTTATTGTTGTGTTGCGAGGAAAGATAAGATAAATTTTACATTGATCCTTATTATCAGTATGACGATTTTATACTTCTCAGATTTTTTTTTTTATGGACCAAATCCACTCTTTAATAACATATTTGAGGACTGATAAACGATCGTCAGATAGCAAACGTTGAGTACAGTATTTATAATGTAAGATTTGAATTTCTTTTCAGACAGTGTCGAATATACATGCAGAGATCGAAGCAAGCGGAGATCAGGGATCAACATGGATTTGCGATCTGAATTCCTCCAATAAGACAAAGCTGAACGATGTAATAAATGCTACATATTTTTTTTTACTAGTATCTATGCTTATATTTCGCTATCCTTCCGCTTATATCAAGTATTTTGGTACAATATGTTATATAATTCTGCTTTCAATATTCAAAGATAACCAATTGATACATTTATTTCTAATAAATCGCGCATGAGACATACGCATCTCACACGAGAAACGTTTCAAAGTTATTCTTCAGAATATATAGCAGACTGACTAAAAATAGGAGTTTCGACAATTGCACTTGCAGTCTTTTGAGGTTTTATTTACATTTTTCAAAACTTATCTTGTGATAATGTTATTTATTTTTACAATAAGTGACACATACGCATAAAATGTAGGTCAACCGCAATATCTATAGATAAAAGCTTATTTTGTTTCACAAATTACACATTACCAATAAGCGAAGACCTTTTTTTTCTTTTTTATGATTGATTAAATGATATGAGCCAAAACATCATGATTAAAGTGTGTTGGACCAACAAGTTGGCTCCGCACAACCTCCTCCGTAATTTATAGCAATTAAAGGAACTGCTGTTAACGTTGTGGTCTAATCAGATCTCAGTGGATATATTTAGAAGTCTTGTAGAGTCTATGCCTGATAAGATAAAAGCGGTTTTGACGATGTTAAGCTCATGGAGGATCAACACAATAATATGTAGGTGGTCATTTTGGCTCATCAGTGTATCGAGATAAAATACTATCATAAAGCGATAAAGCTATGATAGAAATAATAAAAGTTATCGAGCGTAAATTTTACGATATGTAATTTTAGTTAGTTTGCAATTAAACGAGATGATTATGAAAATAATGTACGCATGCATCACAGCTTATATAATTGATGTTGCTTTTTATGCTACACTTTCGTAATTTACAGCAATTAAATTTAATGCATCCTTATGATAAGTATTGTAATCTGCGACGAACACTTGTCGCTTATCATTTTTACATTATCATCTTCCTGCTCTTGATTTTCCCTTTGTTGATTTAACTTTTCTGTCAATTTGCATATTTCTCAACACATTTTGATACAACTGTTTTTAATTTATTTCAACAAAACAGCTAATCGTATTATTTACTTGAAAACGTGTCGCTTAGTAAGATGAATTAATCGTAATTTTTTTTATTTTTTACTTTTTTGAGATAGTATTAATACAAAAATTATGGCATGCTAGCGCTTAATATGGGAATTTAAATTGTAGCACTATTTTTATTTTATATTATCTCTATCTATTAACCCCTTCACTGTCAGTGACGCATATATATGCGAAAAATAGTCGTGTCACTTTTGCTTCACGTGTACATGCGACGTGTATATGCGCATCTGGAAAAAGTATATTTATACTATTACGATTTGATTGTGCTTGGGTTTTTGAGGTCGCTGAAACTGAATCTGAAATCGGATTTTCAAATAACCATATTGGATCCGCTATCTTGAATTTTGAAAATATGATATCATATTCGGATTCAGCGACCTCAAAAACCTTTATACTGAAATCTTCATGCAATTTTGAAAACTTTCCACAACACATTTTTGACACGAAAGGTTCTTTTTCGCCTGACAGTGAAGGGATTAATTATTACATAACTATGTTATGTTAATATTATATAATTATATGTTATATAGGTTTTAGATATCACGTGCTTGTTTCTAACACTTCGACTGCACCATATCATTTGTATTTGGATGATATATTGTTTTCTCAAAGATACATGGATAGTTGACAGCTTTAACTCAATTAGGAATGATTTTATTAAATATTTATAAAAATATTGAATAAAAACAATAAAATAACATTGATTAAAAAATCATATTATTATTATAATATAGTACATTGAAAACGCTCGAAATTAGCTCGGCAGTCAAAGCGTTAATATGAAAATAAGATAAAGAGACGGTTTTCAAAACATCAAATTACTTAAAAATTTAAGAATTCTTACCTTTTATCAACGTGTTTTTCTTTTTTATTCACAGCTAATACTGAAGCCAAATCGTTCGTACGAACTCAAGGATGGAAGTGTCATTGAATTCGGAAAGGTATCTGCGGTTTATCGCAAATGTCGTTCGACAAATGACATGGTCATACCAGAAACGCCCGCTCCGGCAAGGCAAAAAGGAACGGGTACAATAATTCCGAATACACCTGACTCATCGTTTGTAAGTATATATCTTTACGCGATAATTCAGTTTGCGCGACCTTCATGTATTAATGCGTCTATCTCATATTAAAAATAGAACAATTCATCCGCTGTGGACAGCGACGGATCTATTATTCTTGGTACTCAAGGAGACGAGGAAACCGGTATCTTTCGCCAGCCGCTAATTCCACGACAACGTCAATCCAACATCAGTAAACAGAATTCCTCCATCGTTTCCTGCAATAATGAGAGCGACGATTCGCAAATCGTGCTGCATACGTCGGATACTAACGTTGATGAAAATCAGGGAACTAATATATTCGATATGGAAACACAGAATTTCGAGAAAGGACACAGTATGGTGTCAGACTCCATTTATGATGTAGAGACGCAAAAATTTTCCACGGATGCATCCGAGCATTCCGTTGAAGCGAATACTAAAGCTAGCAAGCAATTTTCCAAACCGGACGTGCAAAATAAAACAACTGGCAATTCTGCGACGGATATTCACGATTTGGAAACACAAATTTATATGAGCGATATTAGCGAACTGGAGACTCAAAGAAGCAAGGAGAATATTGAAAAGGTAACAGCGAAGAAGCTTACGACAAATATTTATGATGTAGAAACGCAAAACTGTATCAGTGATAGTGACAAAGGTGACATTGAGGTTCAAGAATTCAAGAATGATAAGAATAAAAGCCGGGAGGGAAATTTAGATCAAATTGAGCACAATATTGACAATTTGGAGACGCAGAGATTAAATAATAAGCGTATCACGGAGGATATATCTGACATGGAAACTCAACTCGAATTGGACGGCACTACAAATGCAACGAACGATATATCGGATCAAGAAACTCAACTTCAAACAAATGACGAACAAGCTGATAAGGACAAAAATAAGGATAATGCAGTAAATACTATTAAAAGTGGAACAAGTTACGAGAATATGGGATTATTGAGATCTGGATCTAGCAGTCCCAGATCTTTGAACTTATCCTCACCAGGAATCGATGAAGACGCCCCTTCCTCACCGTTAAACCAAAGCGGACATTTGTTGGAATCGTCGGATTTATTGGAATTTTTTGCCGAGGGCATCGATAAATCAGACGAAGTGCAAACCTGTAACGCCGTATCCACGCCGAAATCGCGAGCAAAAGCATCGTCTGGAACAGAAAATAGCTCCGGAAACAGATCAAATACACCGGACAGTAAAGACGAGGACGATGTGGAAAACATCTTCGATGCTCCCACTCAACTCGTCAATCCCAAGTTCGAAACTTCAGCATTGAAAGATGCCGACAAGGAAGACACGTTTGCAATGCGTAACCTGCCGCAGAAGAAGCGCGAAACGTCTCGATCGAAGCAAACTGACGATGATTCAGAAACGGATGCAGAGGAATATATAGAAGAGCTCGCTAAGAAGGAGCGGGAATCCTCGAACAACGAAAGTGCGAGTAAGAAAAATGATCCAGGCACGAGCGTCGAATCTGAAGATATGTTCGACGTACCTACGCAACGATTTAACGACCGCGTGATCGATGATACATCAAATTCGTCAATCAATCGATTATCAAATATGAACGAAACCGACGTTGTTGACAACGCCGCACATGATCAAGACAAACGGACAGACATTTCTTCGATGGATATTGATGACATGAAAGCGACTCAACTTATTTTACCACAAAAAGCTTCAGACTCTCCATCAAAAAATAATCAAAATGACGTGGATGATATGGCACCTACGCAAATTATTAACGCGAATATTAATGCGCCAAAGTCAATTATTGCGTCAGAAAATCTTGATCAGGAAGATATAGATTACGAAATGGCACCCACTCAAATAATCGGTGAAGAGCGAAGAAATTTCGAGCGCGAGAAAACCGGTAAGTCTTCCAATGTGAATCTAAATGACACGATAGAACAAAATCTCAACGAAATGTTTGATGATATATGTAGCGAGAATATCCACGAATCCCAACAGATGTCGACTCAGAACTTGGAAAAAATTCTAGATTCATCGGCATCCGATAACGATTTATCTACCACTGCCGCAGATAAGGTGCTACAAACGAGATTAAGAAAGAAGAAACACGCATCCTACAGTCAGTCTTCGCGTAATTCATCTGGTATTAAAACGAACGCTGATAACAATGTAGACACTGATTCACAGAATTCGGATACTCTTTTTATCACTACAAAACGGAAGAGAAATATCATAAAAGATACGCAGGAGCTCGTAGAATCAATGGAAGACACGCCGTCTGAAAACGCTAATTCTTCACACATGTCGAAGGCGGATAATGAGAAGACCGAAGATAATAGTGCAGCTACGAGATCTAGCAAGAGAAGGAAGAGGCTGCCGAAATTGAAAAACAAATCCGATACGGATCCGACGTTAAACGACGATGACATAAGCGACACGAGTGAGACCAAGAAAACAAATCTTCGAAGAATGAGATCGATGAAACCAAGCGATGGAGCTACGAGCGAACGAGTCTTGGAAAAACATTCGAGCAAAGTCGCCGCCGATGACGCAGAAAACTCCACGACTGAATCGAATATTTATGCACCTTGCCCGTTGAGAAATGGACAAGGTGTGGAAATATCAAATGCATTCTTCGAGAATGACGATGACATTCTATCACGCTTACCAGCTGTTAGAATATCAGGGACACTCTCGAATCCGGGGAGTCCTTCTGCGTCATCGACATCGACTGTGCACACTGTAAGATCCAAGCAGAGAGTCACAAAAGATAGAAATAAGAAAAAATCGAAGAAATCACTGCGCAAGCAAAGCGTCGAGGACTCTGAGAAAGATAAAGATTTGAATGAGGTAAAAGGTGAAGCATCAATCCCGCTGCTCGACAATTCATCGAGTCTTGAGACTCGGAAGAGCAAGATATTGAATCCTGCGGATTCCTCCGAAGACTCGGACTGTGACTTGAATATACGATTCAAACAAGTTGCCGAGAGAATTCTGACTAAACAGCCGAGTTACCAGAAATCGCGGAATAAAGGAAGTATACAAAATGCGAGCGACTCCGCCGTGCCTGACGAGAAAAGAAATATGCGCACTTCTAACGTATCGAAGAATCCGAAGCAAAATGCTGATGCTGACGCTGAGTCGACAAATCTTCGGCGGGCCAGTTCAAGATTGACGCGACAAAATGACGAGAGTTCGCGTGCTTCTAAGGAAGAAGATTCCGCGGAAAGAACAGCTGCGAAATTTATAAAGTCAGAAACGAAGTCTGTTGTTAGACGAAAGAGAGGTTTGAACGCGACGGAAGAAAATGTAGAAGATACTAATCTGAAAAAGCGAAAAGCAAATCAAGTTATCGAGGAGAGTGCAGTGTCTACGCGCGGTCGAAGAAGCGTAATGAAAGCCGCTGACAGGCAATTCCCAAATAATCTTGAGTCCGCTAAAAGCAACTCGCGCGAAAATTCACCGGTAATTGAGAGTACGAAATCTTCCAAAGATAGCCAGGCAGTATCTAAAGCTGCAGCGGTGATTGAGAGTCAAAAGGTTGTCTTAAATCCGAAAACAGATGAGAACGCCGATTCCGGGAGATCCAACGTTAAACGAACCAGGCGTAAAATTAATGAAAGTCAAACTACTGCAAGCACTAGTGCGGATGAAAATAGCAGCAAAAATAAGCAAATCCAAACTAAAGAAGAGAAAACAAATTTAAGTCTAATAAGAAGCAAGCATTTGAAGATTGTGCTTAGTCCTGTAAAAATCCCTATGACGAGCTCTGTACGAGACGAATCGCAAGAAGTGGAGATGATCATGGGAACAATTTTGAGTGACGTGCACGACAAGAATTTATCGATTAGAGAAAGCAGCAGCGCGAAGATATTTAAAAAAGAATCGAGAATTGGACGCAGGAACCGAGCGAGCGCGGATATCAAAACTGATTCAACTTTAACTGAGAGCAGCGTGTCATCTGATGTAGACGACTCTGATAATTGTGCGCCGAAAGCTAAACGCGGAAAACTCACAAAAAGTTCAGTTCCTTCACAAACAAGAGCGCGAGTCTCGGAAAAGAAAGAAATATTTAAGAGACCCACTCGTGCCAATAAGACTTCAATTCTTGATTCCTCCATGGAAAGTACGACAGACAGAGATAGTCTATGCAGTTCAAGAAGTGACGTTTCGTCGAGCTCCAGAGCTTCACGATCGAGAACAGCGGGTGCCAGAAGAAAAGAAAAGATCGGGATGCATCAAAGTAGCCCTTCGGACGACAGTCGTCCTTCTTCAAGAATGAATACGAGCCTGGAAACCACATCTCCCGTTTCAGTGTCTTCCAGAACGCGTAGAAGCATGTCCATTTTGAGTAATTTGACACCAACCTCAACGCGACACCGGATCTTATTTACAGGTATAACGGAAGATTACAGCAAAAAATTGTCAAAACATTAGGTGAGTGTATAATGAAAGCGAGAAATTCTCTCGCATATGAACTGAAGAAAGAAAATCGCAACATTATTTACAATTGCTTATCTTAATTTTACAGGTGGAATCAAAGTGGAAGAACCGGCAAAGTGCTCCGTTCTGGTCACTGATAAAGTTCGCAGAACGTATAAATTCTTGTGCACGCTAGCGCAGGGCGTGCCTGTAGTATCAATCGACTGGTTAAAAGACAGTGAATCGGCAGCACGATTCTTAGATTGGGAGGGTTACATATTGAAAGATCCCGCAGCCGAAGCTAAATTCGGTTTCAGATTAAGAAAGAGTCTTGAGAAGGCTAAGGAGAAAAGATTACTGGACGGCTACACCGTCGTACTGACGCCGGGCGTTGCGCCACCACCTGTACAAGAATTAAAAGGCAAGTCGAAAACTTAATTTTTACTCTTGCATAAAATACTCTGCAAATTTGTGTAATAAGATTATATTAGATTAGATTAAATTATAAGATTATATTTTTGCAGATATGGTAAAGTCTTCCGGAGCGAAGGCTCTGTTACGTCCGCCAGCCAAATGGTCTGAAAGAACGGTGATAATATCTCGTGAGGAAGATTTGTCGAATGCAAGAAAATTTCTCGCAAAAGCACCGAAAGCCATTACTATACAATCTACGGAATTTATTCTAACTGGTATTCTAAGACAGGAAATGGATTTTGATAAATTTAGATTAATGTAAGTACGAGTAAATTTTCAACTATATGTATTAATATCGTATGTATCATCGCGATATTCGGATATTTGTTTATTATATTAATTACAATTATCGGTTACAAAGGCTAGTCCATGTTGGCACCATTAGTCACATTTCTCATAAATAAAAATTGGTGCAATCAGATTATAAATTTTTCTTCTAATCTATGAATATTTTAATAGTGTCCGTTTTAACGACATCGTTTTACATTTCGGATATTCCAAAGTAGTACAAAATTTTAATAACTTTTTAAAATTATATTTTATATCATATAAATTGTCATTACCGATTCTTCTGAATTTTATTTTATATATTTATACATAATATTGAGATGTAATATTATGTATAAATACAAAAAAATTCGGAAAGAATAAAAAAATATTCTTTATGTACTATTCAACCCCATCTATTAATAATTTAAGAACGTTTTATTTAAAAGATATCAGTCCAGTGTTGGAATTTATTAGTTTTAATACAAATTATTCGCGAATTCAATGTATTCTTTAACTTTATACTTTAATAAAATATGTATACGAAATATGCTTGTATAGACAATGACACACAAGTGCATTCTCATTAACTAGAAATCTTTATTTCCGTTTTACTTTTCTTCATATAATCATTCTGATGCTTATATTAATACATAATAATAGGCGATTTCTTCGCGCGAAAACTTGAGATATATTTCGTAATTCTGTTGAAGTATCACTGATCACAGTACGCGAGAGTTGCGTTCTGATTAAACATTCTCGAGTTGACTCGAATTGTTGAACGTAGCTCCATTTATGCGTGTGCTTCGCTGCAGTACGCGGCAATATGACAATTTCCGTTTGCAAAAATGAATAGCAAAAGTCGCGACATTTATCGTTCGCTCATTTCAAACATGATTGTTTACTCATCTCGAAAATAACTGCTCATACGCGACGTACGCAGAAACACACGCATAAATGCTCTACATTAGCGATTTACTTAACATTTATTATAAATCTAATATAAATCATATAAACAAAAAAAAGAATTTAAGAAGTCATAACTTATTAATATATAGCACACGCAAAAGATCAATATGGTATTACCATACTATCCCTATACAAAAAGAAAAAAAATGTCATGCAAACTCCAGATTCATGCGAAGTAAGCAGTAGTCGAAGTACGCGATATATATTATTTTGTACTTTTATAAGTAACGTGATATCCGTGCTATCGACATAAATGAAAATTATAAAAGCACGAGCTACCGTGCCGACCTTACGTTGGATAAGAACCTATGGCTAAATGCATTTTCGACATTAAAGAGTGTTATATATATATTTTTTTTTTATTCCGGTCGTCTTAGGCGGAAGGTAAGTCTTGTGAGATGAGATCTAACTCGACAACGCCTGCCGCGAAGATAGGAACGTGCGTAATCTGAAATCAAAATAGAATTAATTAGTCCAAGAATGCTAAAAAAATGAGACGTGCTAGAAAATATTTCTAAACATGATTGTAGATTGCGAAATACAGATGATGTGCATTACACAAGCAAATAATCGAGAAAAAAAATTAATATGAATGTATATATATATGTATATATATGTGTATATATATGTATATATATATGTGTGTATATATATATATATATATATACATATATGGTGATGTGAGTCGTCACGCGTGAGATAGTTCGTTCCGATAACGAATATAAGACGCAATACGCAGCTCGACCTTTCGCATATGATAATTTGCAACGGAAAAGAAAATGTGAAGGTGTCAGGTGCCGAAACCTGATTCAAAAAGCAAATTTAGAAGCTGAGAGTGCGATAAGAAAAACAAACTAAATACAGCGTGAACAAAAGAGATTTCGTTATTATGATTTTTTTATCAGACGTTTTGTTTGAGAAAAAATTGAGACTGGCGTAGAATGCTATCGACTCTCCTGCCAATTTATCGAAGTGAATCGGAGACGAAAATGTGCCAGATTTTTTTGTTTTGTTTTCTGTACATTAAGATAAACAAAAGATGCTTCAAAAAAATCAGAACGGAATGATGAAAAAATATTAGCGAATAGAATGGCGTCGATTTTTCTCAGACACAAGAGCAGTTATTTTTTTTAAGACAAAAGGAAGATGATTTTGAAGAGGGGGGAAAAAAAAAGATGAATATTCATAGCTACTACATAGAATCGTAGCTACTCATAAAAAATGCGCAGTTAGCGCGGTGTTTCACCTCTGCAAATTACGCCTTGCTCTTGCCGGCCTGCCGTTTATTGTGTTCGGTATTCATCAGCTTGGTGAGAATCTTTCTAGAATGGCCGCTCGGGTCGAAGTGATTGGTATGGGCGACAGCCTCGCGTTTGCTTCTCTGCTTACCGCCGTGCGCGGTGAAGATATGTTTATCGTAATCGTAGTTGAAGTGCTCGTACTCGTCGAAATGCGCCTCGGACATAGCTCTCGATTGATCCTCAGGGACGTTCAAAGAAAACAAGTCGCTGTGCGACGCGAACAACGGATTGCGTAAACCGCTCGTAACACACTCGGCAACAGCTCAACCGAAGGATCGGTTCGATACTGAGTGCGCCGCGTTCGCCGCACCGGGTTTATATATGCGACAGGTTTCGCGCGGCCGCGCATACACGAATCGTCACAGTGCCGGCACCACAGCCGGTCTTGCCGCCAGGTTCAGACACTTCGACGATATACGGCGTGTTTTCTCTTCAAGTTTACTGATTATTCTAAATGAATACGCCTAATTTCGTGCAAAAAATCTGTTTTTTTGCACAAGATTGCACAGCTGCGCAATAAGAAGAAATTATTGGCGCATAAAGATGCTCGCCCATATGGATTGCCATATCACACCGATAACGTATCGAGAGTTATTAGGACTCGACTTTTTCGCAAAGTTATGTAATTTCTACACTTGAATTATCTATGTAGTCGGTCGAATTTGGAGAGAAACAAATAAGATTTGTTGCATAATGTTATTACGGATTAATCACTCATGAAATATCGGTTGGAACTTGCACGATGTGTCGAAAAAACTTCTGTGAGTAAATCGTCAAGTGTACAGCAACAAAAGTCAGATATAAATAAACAGATGGAACTACGGGGCGGAAGATAAGAATACGCGTCGTGTTGTCATCTGTAGCCAGCCCTGACATCAGCGAAACACTAGCATATGTATTCAGCTGTATGCCGCTTCAGTCATATACTTTGTCGATGCTCTGTTTAAAGTAGTTTTACTACTATGGATCTCATAATTGCTGCACTCGAATTTATCTTCGAACATACATTTGTACAACGAATAGATTCGTCAACTTACGAATATAGTTAAAAATAAATTACATAATAATTAAATAATTAGAGAACAATAATTAAAAGTAAAAGTAATTGAGAAATTAAATATTCGGATGTCTGGATTTTATTTAGGAATATAAACTAGAATGATGCAACGTGTTTGTTTCTCGTAGAATCATCCGATATCGACAGCGTTAATTTAAAGTCTCATTTCTTCAACGCGCGTGACTTCCTACGATAACTGATAACAAGATTTTGCCGTTGTACCCAGTGGTCATTACTCACGTGGCTAATCTATACGTCGAGACGCACGCGGCCTAGAAAATTCCAACACGTAAGCTCAAACATCAAACAGATGCATTACCTTCTATAGGACACTGCATCGATACCAGACAAGCACATAGCAGTGTTATTTTGAACAAAACATGTTTTATTTCTCATTGTACTGCCTTTCATTTAAAGCAATATATATTTTATTTTAAAATTTAGAAAAGTATATAAGTAAAGTAAAAATTTTGCATAATTACATGTTATTTCCCTCCATTAAATTAAAATAAATTTGCAAAAATATGAAAGGGAGAAAGATAAATTAGCTGTAAGTATACATATTTCATAATTCAACAGCATTTCTACTGTTGATAGCAAAAGCGTAACAAGCAGCGTCGAGTTTATATACCGTAAAGTGTAAAACTTTCAATCCACCTCGTTAGACGCGCAATAAGACGCTTGTAAAAAGGACATAAACATCCTGGGAAACATTTTGTTATTACATTCACCGATCGTATACGATCGTACATGAATATTAACACGTACGGCAAATGTTGCGAGGGGAAAGCCGATATCAGCAAAGTTGATTTCTGCGTCGTAGGATACCGACGAGGCGAAGCTATCGGAGCGTAAAAGACGCGTTACGCCACTGACGAAATTTCTCGATTAAATGATTTTATGTCCTTGAACCGCCATTCACGTCGCACGGCTGCAAGTCCGGCAATTTTTTCATCTTTTTCATCATGCGAATTTCATTTAGCAAGTGATTTAGAATTTTACCGGCGAATTAGTCATTTAATTAACGATAACGTCGGATTCTGAGATAACGATGTCATAATTAAAATATCCTGATAGCGCATTTCAATATTGCCATTTACAAAGAAATGTGAGAAACATTTACAATCAATAACGCGTGCATGTTTGCACTCGTCACCAAATAAATATATAATATTCATCGAAACATACACTAACGCAAATTAAATGTGTGGAATGTGTTTTGATAAACCGTATCACAATATTTATTTGATTTGTCAGCCGGTATTATTAATAATGAGTTAGATAAATTATTATTCATACAATTCACAGGTGTTTTTTTACGATTAAGCGTCGCGCCCGAATTTGGCATTATTGTTTATATTCAAAATATCGAATTCGTCGTTCGATCACGGCGCAATTTAATTTTCAAGGTTAAGTATTGATACGGACGATTATCTCGGCTAGGAGCGGAATACGTGCTCGTGTTCGTGTTCTTGTTGACACATTGTGCGACGTTTAATTATAACTTGCGGAATACGTTATCTGCGCGAAGTCAGCGAAAGACAAAGTCCGATTGCGATTCTTTCTCTTTCTCATGCGTATAAAAGCGCCGGTGTGCACTGAGAAAATATCATAGTAGATTCACAAATTCGAAAGATGACGACGATATGCGAAAGGATACCAAGTGTGAATACGAAATACCGTTAATCAATCGTATTCTGATGGGTTCGCGCATTAAATTGCTCGCATTTTATTTGCATTTGATGTGCTGTCGGATAGGTGACTAGTCGAGAATCCTTCTAGGCGGCTTCGGAAACAGGTTTTGCCGAGCAGTATAATAGGAAAACGCTAATTCAATGCTTTAATATTTGTATGATGCTCTCAAAGCGCTGTCTTGGCAGCATTGGAAAGCTCCTTCAAAGAGAAATTTTGAGTAAAATTGTTTTTTTTTATAGGAATATTTGGTGTGCACAATGTGCTGTTTTAATATATGTAAATTTTATTATATTATTAAACAAATATTTAATGCAAAAAAAAACTTTGGGTATATATGTAATAAAATTGTTTTATTTAATTATAATTATATTATTTAAATATTTAATAGACTATCTCACTATTAATTATATCTCACTATGAATTTAATCTCATTGAGGATTCATTTTGCAGATTTATATTAATTCCTTTTTTTAATTTTAATTAATAAATGTTTAATATTTAAAATTTAGTCCTTTTTGCGAATTACTCAATATAAGATCTGAGATAAAAAATAAATCTGCATATTGGTTGAAATAAAAATGATTTATTAGAATAATAAATAGTTTGCTCTTCTAGAAATTATGATATGCACAATTTAAAATACTTTAAAAATTGAACTTTTATAATTGATTGAAAATAATAAAAAGAACTTTTATATCAATATGTGGTTAGCACTATCTCAATCTTGAGAGTATAAATATTGCATGTTATTCTGTTATTCTGGCAAGTTGACCTGTAACACACATACAAAAGTAAATTCAGATTAGAGCTGGCTTTAAAATAATTAATATTTAAGAAATAATTACTGTGCACATATTGAACTTTTTATTTCTCTTTTAAAGCAAATATCTAATAAATAAATAATAAAAAGAAACTCAATTGTTGGCAATAATAATAAATATGTTAAAAATAATTATGAATATTATTTTACCGAACATTGTACTGAATGTTTCAAATATTTTTACGTGCAATATTTTACAAATAACAAATAAAAAATTAATTACCTTATAGTTGCTCTGTCGGCGCCCGATGCCTTTTGAACCTTCACTTCCTCTTATTGTTAGTGAGTTTTTTCCTCTCATTTGCACAATACTTACTTGCAAAACAATTAATATCCTGATTATGTAATATTTTATACGACATTTCCAATGACGCGATTTTTGTACGAAAATTCAACGCATACTTTGTCGTTAGAAACAAAGGTATACAAAGATATAACTTGAACACATTATCGCACGGAATACGCACTCGACACTCAATGGCACTTTCCGAAGGAGATAACGATGGAAAAAAGGACGAAAACGATAATTAATGTTATGCGTTGTAGCTATGCTACACTTTAACTACTTGAGTATGTTTTCTATATTCTCTTCACGCATAAAAATTCAATTGCGCTTTGCGATATTTTACTATTTCGTATCATAATATACGTGAATATATATAAAAGTTAAAATTAAGAATAAAAAGAGAATAAAATATCTGACATTATATGAAGTATCGTTAAATGTGGAAGTTAATAACAATGAAAGCTATCAATCAATCAGTAATTTCTTACAAAGAATGCTATTGTACTTATTGCGGTTGTGTTGGAAGAATAATTATTGTAGAAGCATGAGGATATCAAGAAGGACGTATTGGAGGACAGAACAATAGAATAGCAAGGGGATCGTGCGTACAGATAATAGCGTGATTTGAGAAGATATGGAGTAGGAAGGATAGAAAGGAGGGACATGCGGAGCAGATATTGGCAACAGAGCGCGGATACTGCGCGTGCTGTAATTCTTAACACGACGCGAACTATTTTACACATGACAAAATATTTCTTACATAAAAAATTTTATTTCGATAAATAAAATATTATCGTATGTTTTATCACATTGTATTTTTAAAAATTTTGCGGATTTATTAGTGTAGTCTAAAATAAGAATTATAATTTTGCTCGATTGAAATTCTTCGTTTCAAGGCTTTTAAGGCGTTTTATTATCGCGTTATAACAGAAACAAAGAAATATATGAGTTAAAAGTAATTATTATTTAATTAAAATAGAAGTCGAGTTAATAAAGGATAAAAATTATACATTATTTCGATAGATATTTATCAATCACGTAATATAATATCGACGTAAATTTGTATGTATTATCTTCATATTTATTTTCAATCATAATTCGTATTTATTCACGTATATTAAAATGCAAGATAGTAAAACGTTCTAAATACATTAAAACGCGGAAAAATCTTGATAAAAGATAAACTATATACTTTATTGTACGAATTACCAAGGAAAGGAAGATATACGAAAGAAAGTTTTCAAGATGCGTTATCATCAACAGTATACATTCTGTCATCGTGTATTGTTAGAATTATTATTATTAAAATTTCTTTTTATTACTTAATACAATTATAGAAAAATTCTTTTGACAATTTCGTAGAATAAGAAACTTTATTCTAGAACGTGCAGTCGTGAAATCTGAAACACGTGATATATAAAATGGAATAGTTTTAAATAGGAAGTAAATCGTAACAATATGTCGGCGTCAAGGCTTCACATCTATAAAAAACATCACAAGATTAGAGGTAAGCAAGTACCATATCCACGGAGCGTTGTACGGCCGCACAACATGCTAAAAATACGAATCGTACGAACATAATATCAGCAAAATCGGAATAAATAAAATTCATATTTACGCCGTCACATGTTTGTTTTGTATTCTTAAATATCGCGAAAGTTCAAAAGACGACAATAAATTTGACAAAATATGAACATATCATTGGAAGAAAGAACGCAACCAGTACAAGGATAACGTGCGGCCGATGAGGAACATGTAAAGAATAATACTAAACGTAATACTATTATGGCGATTTTTCTAACGCGAATGTCTCGCCAGTAACGATAACAAGATTGATCGCATACACCGGCATGATAACAATCACGAGAATCACAAGAAGAGATTCGATGTAGAGTTCAAACAAAATCTAGGGAAAGGTGCCCGAATGCCGGGTGGTTTCCTAACTCTGGGTACGTGCTTTTCTTGACTCTTAAGGGTTGCACTCTGAAACTGCCTCTTGTGACTAGTAGAAAAGGGTAGGGAACTATTTGGTCAGAATTTAAACAAATACAAACGGTACCCGGCAATAGGACATTTTTCCCTATTATTTCGCATGCGGATGGTCGCGTAACAAGATTATCGGATCGACGAGATAATCGCGCGCATCAGTTAATTCCGTAAACATCGCCGCCTTTGCGATAATCGGCGTTTGCGAAAATCGTGGAATTTGCGTAGAACAACACGCAGGCTATGCTGCCGCGCTCTCTGTAGCGTTCCACAGCGTGTCCCAGCTGCTTCAGGCCGTCAATCACTTGCTTAGGAATCCCATATTCGTAAGCCACTTCCGGTGGAAACAATTGATGATGTATCCTTGCCGAGTCCACCGCTTCTTTAACTGTCTGCTGCATCCAAAAGATCTTTGCAATCACCTAAAAATAAATGCGAGAATATCGTCCGTTGCTGTTCTTTATTTATTTATTTATTTCGGCATCACGCCATGCGCTGTTAAATAAAGACCTGAATATATTTTATTTATTAAAATATTACGAACTTGGGATACGGCGGTTGTAATTTTTGTACCGCCAGCGGCGCCCACGACCATCTTGACATCACCGTGCTGGTCGACGAACACGGATGGCACCATCGAAGATAGCGGCTGCTTTTTAGGCGCGATGTAATTGTTAGGGCTGGGTGGTATACCAAAGTAATTGTGCTTCAACGGAATGCCAAAATCGTCCATACCGTTGTTAAGCAGAATGCCGGTTCTTTTGCTGACGACTCCGCTCCCGAAACTGCAAAATCGTCAGAGTAAAAAGTGTACAGGGGACTTTTTGGAAACAATTTGCGAGCAGTACAATTTCGCGCAGAAATTTGCTTACTAATAGTTAATGGTGCTGGTAATCGACACGGCATCGCCGTTTTGTGCGAGCACCGACACGTGTGCAGTGCCGTGATCCTCGACACCGGCGCCGATGGAACAGCCGTAATGTCGCGGATCGTGCCACGTTCTGTTATCGCTTATTTTTTTTCGTATCGCGCGTGCAAAGTCCTTTGACGTCAGGTTTTTGGTTATCTTGATAAAAAGAAAAATGACAAAAAGATTAATATAATCGAAACAGATTAAAACTTGAGGAAAAAGAGAGTCATTTTTTGTCCTTAGCATATATATTTACTTCGGTCATATCGACGAAAGCTCCGTCGCCTAGATTCGTCCTTAAAGCATATGCATACTTAAACGTCTCTATCATCCTGTGATACGTGAGCGTCGTCGCGTTAAAATCAGCTATGCTGGCCGGCGTGAAACCGTAATCGTCGAAGACGTTGAGAATAAATGAGAGAATGCTTCCGCTACCGGGTAGTCCTGTCGTGAAGAGCTTTATTCCGCCCGAGAGATTCGTCTGTATCGGTTGATCCCACGATACTCTGAATAAAAATAAAAAAAAAACATGTTAAAAATTATGTTCAACTATAATATACAGTTATACGATTCAGAATTAGGCAGAATGTACATTCTTGAGCAGATTTTTTTGTCTTCCGCTTTTTCTTTAGGTTTTTAGAATGAATTCCTGAGAGGCTGTAATTAAGGAACGACGATCTATTCGAAAAAAAGACGAATTTCGAGTTTGTTATTTTATGACTGTTCGGCGGCTAAAAAACCGAGCGCAATGGGTGCTCGACTATAAAAATCGCGCAAAAGTTCCAAGACTTGCCTGCAATTCTGATTACCTATATTCATTAAGATCCTGCATTGTTATAATCCCACCCTGTTCCTGCAAATCGTCGACGAGAAGTTGTCCAATGGTGCCGTTATAAAATTCCGTCGCGTTTTTCTCCGCAATAATTCGCAGTGTTTTGCAAAGTGCGTGGGGTTTAATGATGGATCCTGGTTTACGAAATTGCTTCGTCACAGGGTCGAGGAACAATTCTCTAAAAGATCGAGAAGAGAATATATCGTACAGTATTGTGTTGTACGGAGTAAATATTTTATAATTCGTTGTACGTGATTTATATTGGACAGGTGATACGTACTTTAAAGTTGCATCGTTATAAATGCTTTTTTTATTGTACTCCAGCGCGTCATACTGCACCAGTGTTAAAACATAGCCTTTTTCACAGAGCTCGATACTCGGTTGGAACAAATCTGCCCAAGGCAGTTTCCCGAATCGTTGATGAGCTTCCCAGTAGCCGGCCAGTTCACCGGGCACGGCGACCGCCAATGCGCCTGTCGATTAAAATTCATAAGCATTAGATACATATTTTTTCAAACAAAATAACAAAACATGCCGTGAAAAAATTGATAAAAATTTACCGAGTACCGACGCATCTGCGGGCTTGCCATTATACATCGTAGAATTCGCCGCGAGAGGTGCGCGGTCCCTAGCATTGAGAACAAAAGCCTGAGACGTAGATCTTTCGTAAATTGTCATCAAAAATCCACCGCCAAATCCCAGACTTTGCATATTTACGAGTCCGTTGCATATTAGCGCGGCCAGCGCAGCGTCCACTGCCGATCCATTCTGTTCTAAAATTGAACTAAAAAAAATTTCTTTCTTTAACAATAACGCCGTTCCGAATAAAATAATTCGACTTGTTGAATTTTATGCATTGAAAAATTCATATACTTATGTATGTACATACTTGCCGATAACAGCACACGGTGCTCCGTCCGCGCAAACAGCACCGCGTTTGAAAGTTTTTAACTTGCTCCACGATGGCGGCTGTAAGTTTTCCGGATCGGGCAGTACAAGAATTTTGTCATGTTGTGAGTCTGAGATATTATCACGCATGCAAACACCGAGGCTTATGATGATTGCCAACACGATTACAACACCGATGCTGAAGATTATGTTTCGCCCGTTTCGTAACCGTGATCTAAAAGATAAGATTTTATTGTCAGTGAGATATTTTTGTTGATCAAAATAATCTTGATAATCATCTTGGAAAATAATAAATTTTATAAACATAATGATAATAATTTCATGTATTTGTGTTTATGAGTTTTTAACCAATTGAATTCAATGTTAAAAATATTTTAAAAGATCTATCCGTGATGAAGCGAATTTATAAACCAATCTTCCGTTTTTTTTGTTTTTTAATTTTTTTCTCAATAATTATTAATTTTGAGCCCCAAAAATTGTAGATCCACACTATTGGATATATTTAAAGAAATTGTTATAAATCTATCATTGATACTCTTATAAACCTCTATACATACATATATCTCGTATATTGTATTATTATATTACGCAAAGCTATAATTAAAAATTGAAATTAGATTTAAACTTTTATGTTATTATATATTTGAAAAGTAAAATTCATTCTTAACATATTTCAATTTATATTTTTGAAGTTGGAAACTAATGCTAACAGTACTCTAATAATGCTATTGATGGACTAATGCTCACAATAAACAAGCTTGATATCTATATTTAACTGGATGCGATAACTTTTCCCAGATAATACGCAATCTTAAAGACATAAAAAAAACGTCTTTTTTTTCTTTGGATGTCTTCTGACATTTAAAAGACATTAGAAAAAAAATGACATCTTTTGAACACATTTTAGATGTCTTTAAAATTTGCATGTTGTTTTGGCTATCATTGGCCTTTATATATGTTGGAACTTTCTTATACGCCTACATTGTAAAAAAAGATTAGTATAAAATTATAACAATTATAAGGCAATTTTGGAAGTAATTATTATAGGTGAAAGTTTTCACGCGTTAATTTACAGTTTAATAAAATAAATGTTCTGTGTTGTAATGAAGCAAATTGCACAAATAAATTTACAGTTATTAGATATATCTTACATCAATAAGTAGTTATTATCAGTTGATATTAATAGTCCGAGTTATTTAAAGTTTTTAATTTCAAATTTCACACATACAACTTTAAATTTATCTTACTTATTCGCATATTCCCATTATTAATTATATAATTTTTACATTATTTGCGCAAATTTATCAAATTTGCACAGATAATTTACAGTGTGATAACTGCTGTGATCGCAAATCTGCGATCAAATAAAGAAACAGCAGTTAACAATCTCTTTCAATGTTTCTTTCGTTGACATTGAGATTGTGGGAAGGGATAGCCAACTTGCTCCCCTCTTCGTCTGAGCCAGTTGAGAGTCGCTGCAATATATTTATCTACATACAGTGATGCAAACTCGAGCCGGCCAGCACCCGAGCACCGCGGTAGGGGAAGCACGCACACAAACGAGAATCGTGACGTCACACGTACGTGTGCGCTTCGTCGTTCAGTTTGTAGAAGCGAGTGGACATACGTGTTCCGTCTCCTTT